TCGCTCTGTCCATCCCTTCATGCTTCGTCTCCACGTCATCTGCTGGCCTTCACGCGGCACGTACCTGCTTCTACCGATAGCGGATTGCAGCTCGGGCTAATAAATAAGGGACCAGAAGTTCGTCACCCCGACTCCTCCCTCCTAAGCCGAGTTTAGATTGGGCCCTGGATGGACCACAACTAATGCATCCTGTGCTGGAAACCTACCAGGATCAGCGGTGCTAATTTGCTACAGATAGTGTCAAAATGGCTTAGTGGCCCTAAAGGTACCTGAGGGATGTTACCACGATATGACCCAGAGCTCCGGTAATCTGGATGCTATTGGGTGTACTAGTGCAAAGGAGCACATGAGGGTGTCTGTAAGTGATCATGTCTGAACGTGTATGGATCAGAACAGTGAACACAGAAGATGCGGAATGACAAACGGAGCGGGGACTCTTCAAAATGCCTCCACCTGCTATCTTTTCCGTTCTATCTAACTCAATATCCGTTTGCTTATTTTTCTCTACTGCCCCGTCTTGCATCCTGGCTGGCATATCCGGATTCACTCATAGGTAGAAAACCGTCTAGGGTATAATATTGCCTCACTCCACTTACCGCTCAGCTAGATTGCAGGCATTCCTCGTTTTTCTGATAACTCTCCATTACAGCGTTGAACTAACTCAGCTGCGGAAGCACCGAACGATCCAGAAAGTCAACCCACATTGACGCCGAATGACTGAATTACGGTTCGTAAAGAATTCTTTTTTATCAAAGCATGCATAGGCGAACACCACGATCACGGTGCGAGAACCTAGACTCAAATGGGGACCATTTAACTATTCTGACGGAACAGTGACTCGTTCAGCAACATCGTATTGAACGTTGGGCAGAACATTTTAAGGCACAGTTCAGCTGCACCCCTTCTACACTAGACCCGATTACTGCTTCAACTGTGGAAATACTGCCAGTTGAAATAAGTGTTCTAAAATTGAGATTACCCAGGAAATAAATTATCTCAAAAGGCGTAAGGCTTCGGGCCCAGATAGGCTATTCCCATCGGCTGTTAAGGATGGTGGATCGGCCTTGGTTATGGAGTTGACCGAACTCCTGGGTTCAATGTGGGAGATGAAACAGGTTGCAACTGGATGGCCTGAATCGGTTGCGTTACCGATTTAGAATAAAGACGATAAACCCTCTTGTGAAAACCACAGGAGGATAAACTTCATCAACATTGTCTCCAGACTTCTCGCTAGAACTATACTTTTCTGGCGCACGTAAACGGTCCACATGTGAGAACCAGGCTAGTTTTAGACTTGGTCGAGGTTGTATTTACCACATTTTCATAAATTTGATTATGGAAACGGTCTTGTCCTCTTGCGCAGGTAGTGGCATCGATTTGCTTCCAGGTAGCAGACTGATCTGGAGTATGCAGACGACATTTTACTGATAAGTGAAGATCCAGGTAAGTTGTAGGTTTTTGTGGATAATTTAAGTGTCCACGTATCCGTGTTCGGTATGGGTTCTGTGCCTTCAAAGCGCAAAATATTACTACAAGACTGGGTTTGTCTGGCGCCCAGCTTCACTCTAACCGGGGAAGTGATAGAGCGAGTGGACAAGTTTTTGTTATTTTGGACAGCTATATCTCAACCGGCATCACGGAGGAAGTGTCAGTTCGCATTCAGAAGGTTTGATTGTTATGTGCCAATTTTTGCCGTCGCGAAATTGGGCTCTGTAAAGGGCCGAGTATACGCTTCAGCAGTCCAGCCAATGCTACTTTACAGTGCAGAGACGTGGCCATGGCGGGCACAGGTTATAAATAGATTGTCGATGTTCGAACACCGCCGTCCACGTCGCATTGCACAAGTTTGAAGAGGAAGCTGGTCAAGCATTTTTGAGGTTAGATGCAAACTGTTAGGCAATCCCGGTCGTCCACTGCAGCAAGTGGTCGACCTGCATAGACTACGCTGGTTGGGACATGTGATGTACATATAGCCAAATGGATTTTCATGATGCATGATGCTAGCCGAGGAAAATAGTTTATGCAGAAAGTCAAAGGTGGTTAAACGCAGACCTGGCATGAGGGTATAAAAACCCGGATCAGGAGACTCAGTGATATAGATCGTATTAGGCTCCCTGGATGGTGACTCCGAGGCCATGTTAACCGGTGGTTGAAGACATTGAGTGATATGGATGAGTGTCACATCAAATGGCTTCATGCATCTAACCATTACCCGTGCAACCCTAGTCTATGTGAATCCTCTTTTTTCTCTTTAACTCTGATCTCAACATTCCACTTCTCCTTATGCTCTTTTATCCACACTAGCAACCAAAAGACAGCAACCAAAACCGGCGCGCGAAAGTGCATTGTAAAACTGAAATGAATTGAAGTGTCTGTATTTTCGAGATGTGCATCTATCGAGCTTAGTATGTAAAACATATACAAGAGGCTTATGGTCTGTAAAAAACAGATGAGGTCTCGACCTTCGACTACTTGGCTAAAATGCTTCATAATGTTCTATGCTGCCAGTAACTGATGGCCGAAAGCATTGTGTTTTGTTTCTATGATGTTACTGCGTACACTCTCCCATATGATACTGAATCTTTCACTCATGGAGTTTTTTTTACGATAAACACGTATCTGTGGATCAAAATACAGTCAAACAGTCTATGTGATAAATGTCTTCAGGCGTATCAGAAGTGTACAAATATCCGTAGTGTACGTTCGAAAATTTCTGCATTTTCAGATGCCACCTCAACATGATACTGACCTCAGGTCCCCCAAAGTCGAACAGATTCCACAGAGAGGACGATTTTAACTCCCGTCCCAATAACCCACCCGACCGACACTGCATGTACCTGGCCATCACTTATCTATTGTCTGTTGATATTAGATTGAGCGTAATTCTTGTCCTTTAATTCTTTTTTCACAACAGAAAAGCGGTGGATAAAATGCGGCCTTTTCCCGTACTTGGTCTACGCACGATGTTCGTTGGTCTCGGGAAATTAGCTTCACAACCGAATGCCGTCAGTTTAAACGCACCATGTCGGTTCGCCGGCATCAAGAAAAAGTACGATTTAGAAGATAATCCGAAAAAGGTCAAACCTGCCGTGTTGGTGAAAACCCTCCGTGGATTCCAGTTTAATGACGGAGATTATGTGTATGAAGGCGATATCCTTGTACGACAGGTAAGTAGTCTGGTCAGCTAATGCATTATGCACGTTGTAATCTATTGTGGTTTCCCTGTCAGTAGGAAGTCGACGTTATACATTATAGGAGCCACAATGGAAGTCTTGTTCGTGACACTAAGAATGTCGTTTAAGACTGCCCTGGCACACAGCAGCTCAATCCAAACTAGATTTAGCGGATTGTTATAATTCCAGAAGGTTGGTCGAGGGTAATTGTTTACTGAGGATTTCAGATGAGACATCACCAATTTGGGATACATAACACGAAAATCGCATCAAAAACATACCATCGCAGTTCCTAGCCACACGACGGGTAATGAATGTAGGGATTGATAGTTCTTCTTTGAGACCCAGCAAGTTGTCCTCTGTGATCTTGTTGCTTTTTGGTTATTGAAAGTAATCGTCAACCACGTTACCTACTACTCACAAGTGAGTAGTATCTCACAACACGGATGACCGTCATGTTGAGGCTTCAAAAGAACGGTCTAGCACACACACGTTTCGGTGTGCTGATATCTCTAGTCGGTGGGGGACGATACTTAGTCGTTCACATAAGACATCCTTCACATAGGACTCCCACATCCTAAGTGGGACGCATTGTGTGACCAGATAGGATGTTGCATCCACAATAGATATAGCTCAGAATAGAAATCAGTGACGCGAGTGTTTTACCGATTGAGGTTTCCGCTCATGAACCAGTGAATGTGTTTCGTTTCATTAGTGAAATATGCTGTAGCGTCGAATTCGCCTGTTTATTTTCTTGATGCTTCAGCTTTAAAGATATGCTACTTTTGTGCCTGTTCGGCCCATACCGTCGTGTCATCATTAGTTATATTTCCTCCTCCTCCTCTATATTCCGTTCACTACCTTCACCCCAACTTCGTGCCGTCAGCTCGGATTGGAAATATACCCCGGGGAATCTGTGAAATTGAATCGGGATACTTGGGATTTAATTGCAATGTGCAACGGTCGATTTACAATTAGTACTGAAACCCTCTCCCCTTTCCCGGACAGCCCACTGTACTCAGCGGTGCAACGCGGGGAACAAATTGTTCGACCATTCGTGCATGTAATCAGTGACCCCCCGGAACCGATATACCGACTAAAGCGTATGCTGTGAACACATTTTGCTAGTCACCATATAAATATATATGCTTTGTACATACTTGCTAATTTAATTTTTGCATTCCAAAATGGACGAAAATCCGATGTATTAATTTGTGCTCATGTTTAGTCGTGGCGCTGTCATTGGCTCGCGTTGGACCCTGTGGTTCGAGGTTCGCGGTTCTAGCCCCCCCACCGCCACCCAACTTTGGTGGTAGACAGCTTTGTTGTCGCCCGGTTCAGTACCGCGCCCAATTCAGCGGGGCCTAATTTGGTTCATCACTCTAAGTCCTGCGGGGCTTAGGTTACCGGTTATCATCACTGAACACCAGATGTTCGTGACTATGCGGTTCGCCACGTCTGCAGTGATGTTTAACAAAAAAATCAGATTTGTATACGTCAACAACCATTGTGCATTTCGATATTGAAAACTCTTGTCACTCGCTAATCGGGCATCGGTCATTGCGTAGTTCGTATAAAGTGCTTGCTAATGTACTTGCTTTACACATACTGCGATGGGTCTCTTACTCGCCTGAAACTAACTGAAAGAAGCAACTCACGGTTGGGAATCCTTGCAACGATGCAACATCTGCTGCGTGCTGGTTAACGATCAACAATTGTGGACCTTCACAGAGCATCGTTGAAAAATAACCGGAAACTGCAAACAATTGAGACCACAGGATGACGCACAGATGTCATGTCGCATGGAAATAAAACGAAATCATCCATCAGTGCCGAAATTCCGCGGGTGTCCACTCGGTCTACGACGGGATCGTGCACATATACGGAAGGTGCTATTGACGTTTGTCAATCGGAGACACCTCTAGTACCGCTGAGACATTCGGTTGTCCGTGGATGGTGTATGCTGTAGCAGTTCTGCCATATGATGCAGATGTTTACCGTTATGAGAATTAGATAAAGATAAATCACTGGTGTTCGAGCACCGCTGTCCAAGCTGCATTGCTCGACTTTGGGGGATTAACCGGAACAGTAAAGCTGAGTTTGGGTGCAAAGTTTTTAGGCAGTAGCTGTTCCGCATCGGAGTAAGTGCTTGATGTCCCTAGATTAATTTCTTTGGGGCATGCCACTGAATAGAATGCCTCAGCGAGCGACGTTCACCAAGGTGACGGTTGACGGATGGTCGCAGTTGACCAATTTGCGGACCAGGGGACCTGGATATGTGGATCGTGGTAAGCTTCCCGGCTGGGGACCTTGGGATCAGTATACCCGATGGTTAGGAACACTGACCAATATGGCTGATTGCAGTGACTAGTGGTGCTCTACTCAGTATATTTTCTATTATTTCCCTCTATTTCATCCAAACAGACCGTCGAAAGATGGCAACCAAAGCTGCCGCTCGAAAATGCATAAATTGAAAACATGGAGAACTGCCAATTGCATTTTCATTCGTGTCCTTTGTGCGTTCATCTTGCTTCTGGTTTGGTCTTTGGTTTTTACATTCCAGGGATACAAAACAAAGTAAAATGGGGGTCAAACTATCACAGTGAATAAAAAGAATAAAAATGTTTTGTTTGTTTCACCGTACACCTTTTGATATTTTTTGTGTTATTTTATCGTTTTTTTTTACGGGGCACGGGATTTCGACAGACAGACCGTATAGCATTCACGTTACTGACTTCTATTCTGGGTCACTTCTCTTAGTGTCTCTAACCAATGAAAGTACTCCTCCCTTGAGCCCAAACCTGGACGACGGGCTGCACCAACCGAAGCCAAACTTGAGACTAGCTTCTTTACAACCGGTACGCCATGTCATGGTCTAACCGCAGCGCTTCTCCCAGCCTTGGTGCACATGTGTAAAGAGAGCATGGAATGGTAGACGAGGGGCAGACATGTACCAAACGTGACCAAGCCACCGGAGGAGATTTTGAGCAATGAATTCTCTTAGAGGACGACTATGCGCACCCAGCACATGACGGATTTCGTCAGTGCTCACTCGATGTTCCCATTAGACACGGGTCACGCTTCAGAGGCATCGGTTGTTTGGTGGTAAAGATACGATTGGTGATATGGTTGGCCTAGACCTACAATCGAAACGATCACCTCTTGCTTAGCCCCTCCCCCTACCCAACAGAAAAGTGGAAAAGCGAATACAACTGGACAACCACAGCCAGAGTATTTGGTATATTCACAATGGGACACTCGGATAGAAAACGCAAATCGGAGACATGAGAACGACATAATGATGCGCCAATCAGATTGCGCACTTGGCAATTCGACTGGTTTATGGGACAAACTTTGTCCGATTCTTTCTACAAAATCCAATCCGGACTGGACTTGCCTTTGGTATCGATAGCGTGCTTGTGGCATAACACGGTCCCTTTCGCGACCTGCTGAGATCATATATTTCCGTCTTAACAAAAGGAATCAGAGATCACTGGCGTTCTGCCATCATTTCTTATCAAACCGGGATGTTTGAGCAGGTGCTAAGAATTTGCCACAGAGATGTTCAGTGCCAAACGAAGTGTATTGAAGAAGTTGCCCTGNGTGCCAAAGCGGTGCATAGCCGCTTGACCAAGGTAGCCTGGCAACAACAATGCAAAGAATGAATGCGTATCATCAATTAGGTAGCAAAAGTAAATTTACGGCGGTAATAATTTCAGATTTAGCATATTTCGGATTGTTTGAGAATCCGGAATCCGAGAATGACCTATTGTGACGCGTGCGTAGATGTGGTGGAAGCTAAATCGTAGCTGCATGATTTGCAATCAGTTCTCAGTTACTTGTGAGTAGTCAGTACCGGTAGATAACAATAAATAATTTGACACACGTCTGTATGCCAAACAAATCACAGTACAACAACTGTGTAAAAAGCCTCCAAAAGCCTCTTTATGGTCGGGGGTGGGTGTATAGGGTTGCGGCTGGTCACCCTGCCCTTGCACCTCACGAAATGCTCCCAT